CTGCTGAGGGTGCTGAGCCTGGGGGTGCTGACTCTGGGGGTGCTGAGCGTGTGGGTGCTACGCCTGGGGGTGCTGAGCCTGGGGGTGCTACGACTGGGGGTGCTGAGCCTGGGGGTGCTACGCCTGGAGGTGCTGAGCCTGGGGGTGCGGAGCCTGAGGGAGCTGGGCCTGCTCGTGTGGCGTCTGGCGGTGCTGTGCCTGGAGGTTCTCCGGGTGCTTCGTCTCGGCGGGAGCCACTCTCTCCACAGGAGCTGCGCGAGTGGTTTGCCCGGCGTTGGAGGCGTGCTGCTGGAGCTGGAGGTTCTTCGGCTGCTGAGGGTGCTGGTGCCGCGGGTCCCGGAGGTGCTCGTACTGGGAGTACTGGAGCTGCTGGGCCTGCGGGTACGACTGGAGCTGGAGCTGCTGAGGGTGTTGGCGCTGAGGCTACTACTGTCGGTCCTGGAGGCGGTCCTGCTGGGGGTACTACTGGTGCTGCTGGAGGTACTGGAGCTGGAGGTGCTGCTGGCGCTGGTGCTACCACTGGGGGTACTGGTGCTGTCCCTGCTGTGTCTGGAGTCGCCGCGCGGCCTCGGCCGTACTTCGTTCCGCTCCTTCAGCAGGTTCTTGGTCTCCCGCTTTCTACTGGTCCTCCTCCTCCCTTAGAGTGTCCACAGCCTGTCCCGTCACAGTTACAGTTACATCCGGCCTCCCCTCTGCCTGCTCCTTCTCCCTACACTGGTCCTACTGGAGGTCTTGCTGAGCGTCGTGAGCCTGCGTCTCGCCCTGCGTCGCCTGTCCGTGCTGCTCGCACTAGTGGTCGTGGTTCGCGCCAGCGTCCTCCTCCTGTCCCTGGCACGCACCGGATGTCTCTGCGTCCGTCCACTACCTCCTCTGCGTGCCCCTTTGCCTTCTCCTCCTGAGTCCTCTCTTCCTGCTCTTCCTGACCCGGAGTCGGACTCTCTTCGTGCTGCCAGTCCTACTGTCACGCGTCTCCTTGCTACTGTTGTCACTGACCCTTCCTTTGAGTCCACTGCTGCGTCTGCCCTAGTTGCTGAGCTCGTCGACTTTACTGCTCGCTGTCGTCTAGACTACGCTGCTAGTCTTGTTGCTGAGTCTGAGTCTGTCTGTCCTCCGTCCGTCGGGGGTGAGTGTGCCCTTGGCATGGACGTCCTTGAGGACAGGCAGGAGGAGTTCCAGTGTTTGGCTGCTGCTTCACCTCATCTCGTATCTGTACTGCTTACCCCTGAGGGAGACCCGGATGCACTTGACATCCCGACTCCGCGCTCTTACGCGGAGGCGATAGAGGGTCCCTACTCCTCTCAGTGGCAGGCAGCTATGGACGCAGAGATGGCTTCCTGGAAGTCCGCAGGCACCTACGTTGACGAGGTTCCCCCGCCTGGGGCGAACATCGTCAGTGGCATGTGGATTTTCAGGGTGAAGCGACCGCCGGGTTCTCCGCCTGTCTTCAAGGCGCGTTACGTGGCTCGTGGCTTCAGTCAGCGGCAGGGAGTTGACTACTTTCAGACCTTCTCTCCCACCCCGAAGATGACCACTCTTCGGGTACTGCTGCACATAGCTGCTCACCGTGACTACGAGCTACACTCTCTTGACTTCAGCACTGCTTTCTTGCAGGGCAGCTTGCACGAGGAGATCTGGCTGCGCCGCCCACTTGGCTTCACTGGGACTTTTCCTCCTGGCACCCAGTGGAGCCTCCGGCGGCCAGTCTACGGTCTCCGCCAGGCACCGCGTGAGTGGCACGACACACTGAGGACTACGCTTGCGGCTCTTGGGTTTGCTCCCTCTACTGCCGACCCGTCGCTGTTTCTGCGCACCGACACTTCTTTGCCGCCGTTCTACATCCTCGTGTACGTCGACGACTTGGTCTTTGCCACAACTGACACTGCTGGACTCGCCCACGTGAAGTCCGAGCTGCAGAAGAGACACACGTGCACAGACCTGGGTGAACTGCGCAGCTACCTTGGCTTGCAGATCACCCGGGACAGAGCACGCCGCACCATTACCCTGACTCAGTCACACATGGTGCAGCAGGTCCTTTAGCGCTTCAGCTTCACGTACTCCTCGCCTCAGGCCACTCCTCTGCCTACTCGCCACTCGCTCTCAGCTCTGCCTTCGGATGAGTCCGTAGAGTCGAGTGGCCCGTACCCAGAGCTTGTTGGCTGCCTCATGTACCTGATGACCTGCACTCGACCTGACCTTGCATACCCTCTTAGCATTCTCGCACGCTATGTTGCTCCTGGGAGACACAGACCGGAGCACATGGCTGCAGCGAAGAGGGTGTTACGCTACTTGTGCAGTATGTCGGGCATGGGGCTTGTGCTTGGAGGGCAGAGTCCAGTGGTCCTCACTGGGCACGCAGATGCTTCTTGGGCTGACGACCAGGCTACGCAGCGGTCGTCACAGGGTTACACCTTCAGCCTTGGTTCCGGCTCTGTCTCGTGGCGGGCTACCCGCTCGTCTTCTGTTCTCGGCTCCAATTGTGAGGCTGAGATCTACGCAGGGGCCATGGCTGCACAGGAGCTTCGCTGGCTCACCTACCTGCTGACTGACCTCGGAGAGCCGCCTCGTTCTCCTCCAGTGCTGTACGTAGACAACAAGGCCATGCTGGCCTTGTGTCGGGAGCAGAGACTGGAGCACAGAACGAAGCACATTGCTCTTCGCTACTTACTTGCTCGTGAGCTACAGCAGCGTGGTCAGCTACGGCTTGCGTACGTGGCCTCTCAGGCCAACACTGCTGATATCTTCACCAAGGCACTTGCGCCTTGTGATCATCAGCGCTTCTGTACTCAGCTGGGTCTTGTGCCTACCTTGCCTCACTTGCTCACCCCTTGACCTTGTTTGTACTGTTACATATATATATACACCTGCTCTTGCTTGTTTAGCCTTATATATATATGTAATCCTGCATGTGAACTGGCCTTGTGGCCTTGAACTTGTGCTCGGAATGTGTGGTGACGTTGTGATCCACCCTGAGCTTGCTTTGCTTTGCTTGACTGGTCTTGTGACCCCTTGTCCTCCCCCACTTTGCCTATGGGGGTGTGTCAGATTTATATCACTTAGCTGCTGTAGGCTATAGTGGGGTAGCACATATGGGGTACAGCTTTCTAGGGTTTGCACTTGTACCCAACTTTCCCTTAGTCATTTTCATTCCTCGTTCATTCTCACATGTTGTCATTCGCCACATTTGGTAGGAAGATATGATGATCCAAAAATTGCAACGACATGTCGAATTATATTGTATCCAAAGAATAATATGCAGATTCAACCTTACGAAGATAGGGAGTTGTACCGTATCACCCCGGATAGAAGCGCACCTGCGCTTATAATAAAACATGATTTTTCATGGGGGTGCGCTTATAATTGAGTAAAAATATAAGCGCATGCGCTTATAAAATAACAAATATACAATTTTGAACTACTAGCACGATAATGTAGTTCGCGTCATTGCGCACCCAATCGAGTCGATTTGAAACAGGGATGTGGGTGAAAAACTCTCGCTACTTGGCAGGGAAAGATTCCCTGCCAGCACATATACTCAAAATGAGTCACTAGGAGCTTCTGACAGCACTTGCTGACTGGACGCGCAGCCTGTGCAGGGTTTGAATGCGAAGGAAATCTGATTTTCAACTCATCGCCTGTTGTGAACTTCGTTACAGTAATTTGACAGTTTTCCAAATTTAAAACTAGGATGCGCTTATAATAAATCATGTTTTTTAAGGGGGTGCGCTTATAATTGAGGCTCGGCCATAAGCGCATTGCTCCAGATAGAAGCGCATGCGCTTATATCCGGGGTGATACGGTATGTATTTTATCATGGACCTGAAAAGCTGTAAATCGTTTAGCATTAAAAAATACATCTACCACATTAACATATGTATTTATTTCTATACTAGATGTCATGTATATATACGACATAGTCACTGATACAATACTAAACTCGACAAGGGTTCAATAACACAAATCAAGGTTTTGCATATGGAAACCTGACCTAAGCATTCTTATTTTATATCCCTACTTTCATTCTATGCGCAATCAATTCAACCTCTCGTAACGGATTTACCTGTATTGTGTTTCACTTTTCCTGTGTGCCACAACCTTGATATGAAAGTCCTTTGACGGAGTTTCTGTGCGTTTTCAGTGAAGCTGTAACAAGTATTGGCGCGAAAGGTAGGGCCACAGTGGTTTGGGAACAGTTGGCCGTCAAGCCACCCGGAACGTGGGATGGGTTCGGTAGAAAAGACAAGCGCGCGCAGTGCGGAATCTGTGATTGTGATGTACAGTGAGCGAGCAAGCGTAGGATGAAACACGTGGCTCATTGAGGGCTCGACTCCCTAACCTGAACAATAACCCTCCCCCCCTAGCCCAGCCTTTTGCGGAAACCATGCGCAGAAAGCGCTACCCCTGCCCTTTTAGCGGAGGGGTCCAGGTAACTCTCCCCGCTAAGCTGAAAACCCCTCCAACTTCACAACTCTAGATCTCAACGAGATTGGCGGGGAGGGGACCTGCTAGATCGTACACACCCACTCACTTCGTTCCTTCTCCACGATGCAGCTATACTGGTGAACGTCAGAACTAAAAACCACAGCGTTCTCAGGCAATCGTTCACACGATTCGGCGACCTCAGCCGGCGAAATCATCAGAGGACAGGTGTACTCCCTGTGAGAGGTGGTCATCCGTTGGTTCCTTCGGACATGCCTTCCTACAGACTTCACTTGCGCGTCAGCGCATGCGACAGAGCTCTCGCATATTTCTTCCGAATCCGCGGCTTGCTGCCTGTCCTTGTAATCTCCGCCACGTCTGCCCTTTTCTACATCGGTGGTGTATTTCCCCTAAAATCCAAGCCGGCGCCGCCGAAATTTTCGACACGCTACAATTTTTCTGGAGATTTCGGGGGACTGGGTTCTGTTTCGGCGGAATCTGCGTGGAAACTGCGCGATGGCGAGGTGCTCCCTGGAGTGTCGCAGGCGCGATTGGCCACGTGGCGAGCCGCTGCGCGATCACGGATGAACGCCGCAGCTGACGCTGATACGGCTAGCTCTGAACCAGTTGAAGCTGCTGGAGCTGACGCTGCTTCCCACTCCGACCTTACAAGGCGGCGTGACTTTCCAGCTGCATCACAGAGCACGGCAGGCGTTGGCGACTTGTGCGGGTGGCCGCTGCCTGCGGCCCCTACCGCACGGGAGACGGAGGTGGGGTTTGAGGGCGGTTCGGTTTGGTACAGCGCGAATGGCAGCGCGTGGATGCAGCACGCGAATCTGACGACGCTCCTAGCGGGGATGGCGGCGGGAATGGTACAGGCGGCAGTGGAAGATCGGGAGGTGAGGGGGGGGCGAACACGGGCAGGTGTGAGCATTGAACGCCCGTTGGTAACACCAGACGATATAGTTAATGGAATAATAGGGGTGAGCGTTGATTGAGAATCGCCCCGGATACTCTCGTTACTTCCCCGCGATCTTGGATGATTCACTTTTGATCCTAAACCTTAACCCGAAACCCTCCTGCGCTCCCTCCGCTCTCCTCCCTCCTCCGCCAGCCTGTATGCGTGGCGGTGCATCTGCCACCCCAATGGTTCCCGTGCGCCGACTCGCCAGCGGGCTGCGAGCTGGCAGTGTGGGTGCGGCCTGGCTCGACGGACGTGGCGCTGCTCAACCATGCGTTCAACAAGCGCGCCTTCAGCTTCCTGCGCCCCTCGCTACTCCCGCGCTTCCGCCCCGCCGCCATTCTCGATGCCGGCGCCAACATCGGCCTCGCCTCCCTCGTCTTCGCCATGCGGTATGATGTCATTCACCTATCAACACCGCCGCTTTCGTCTTTCACATCTTCTTTCGCCCTGTGCTCTGCACATTCCACTCGACCTTGTTTTTCCCATTTTTTCCTTGGTGACAAGACTTCCCTAACAAAAAAACGGCCGTTTTTGTAAAGAATTATCGTAAAGAACGGTCCGTGATTTACAAAAACCGTTTTTTTTTTTACCTTGCTGCTGGCACATGCTAGTGCGTGCGGCACGCTCCCACTCACATACGCTGCTTGCTGTTCACTCGCCCATGCGCCTCGCCTTGCTGCCATTCCTCAACATCCTCCTCCTCTGCTCCTTCCACCCCCTCTCACCTTCGCCGTGCGCTTTTCTTCCCACTCCCCATTGCTCCCCTCGTTCCACCCTCCTCGCCATTCCTTGCCCGTTCCCCCGAGCAGCTTCCTCGATGCGCTGATAGTGGCGGTAGATGCCCGGGCGGGACAGTTTCGACCCGTATGTGAAGCAGTTTGTTGGGTCACTCTTGGTCCGTGGTTGCATCATTGCCTTGTGCTTGCCTCCATTACCACGTTCCTCCCTGCTGAGCAGCTTCCCTGATGCGCTCATAGTGGCGGTGGAGCCGGCGCCCAACAACTTCGCCCTGCTGCAGCGCAACCTGAAGCATCTCCCCCAGATACTGCCAGTCAATGCCGCCCTCTGGTCGCACGACTCCCGGATTGCCGTCACTATTGGCATCAGGGGGGGCTTCTGGGGCTACGAGACAGTCCCGTGTGGGCATCAGCAAGCGAGGGGAGAGCAGCAAGCGGGGAGAGAGCTGCAAGAGGGGGGAAAGCAACAGGATGAGGTGGACGAGCGGCAGCAGCAGCAGCAGCAGCAGCAGCAGCAAATATCCAGCAGCACAGTGAATCCCCTGTCACCAGCATCACCTGGTGCCGCCAAGCTGCCACCCGCTTCTCCCTCCCCCTGCATGGCGGCCGTGTCAGTGCCCTCCCTGCTGCAGCGCCTGCACCTGCTGCGCTTTGACTTTGCCAAGATAGACATTGAAGGCGCCGAGCTGCAAGTGTTCTCCCCCTCTGCTCTGGCGAGCGCAGTGAGGAGGGACAGGGATGATGGGGGCCTTGGAGGGGCAAGTGGAGGGATGGCGAGAGGAGGGCAAGGAGGGAATGGAGGAGGAGGAGGAGGAGGAGGAGGAGAAGCAGGAGGAGAAGCAGGGGGGTGGCACCGGGATGTGGCGGTGCTGTCGATGGAGGAGCATGAGGACAAGGCGCCGGGCATAGGCGTGCGCATGAAGGAGGTGTTTCCGCGCGCACGGTATGACGTGCGCAAATATGGCGAGAACACTGTGTACTTCAACCCCCGGCTGGGGGTGCGTGCCACGGCCCCAATAGTCAGCCTCTTCAGACTAATCTGGCCTTGGAAGGGCTGATTTTCAGTCCCTTTTTAATTATTATTATAGTAGTCGTGTTTAGTTTATTATTCACCTTTTTTGTGGTCGAACATTATGTGGTAACGACACTGAATTTTCAGTGGTAACCAGGGCCCTAGATCCGTTTTGGACCAGGCTGATCCATCAGCCTTGGTACAGAAAAAACGCTGACAGCCAGCGTTACCTAGGGGAAAAAACGCTAACATTTCAGAGTTGGTACAAAAAAAAAAAACAAGAGTCGACTAAATCGTCTTAGGGTTGCGGAGCTATGATTTGGAATATACAAAATTTCGATTTTTTATGTTAATATCTATAACGACAATGTCTAGATTTCCAGTAAAGAAGAAGTTACCGACTACAAAATAGAACACAACAAAGAGTGTTTTCTCCAAATTGTGTCACACAATTTAGTGCAATGTCAGAATCACACTCGGTCGGAATTCGAAACCGCACCTCCGTCTTACCAGCGTATCTTACTCGCTGGCACAACGACTTATATTCACCATGTTTTTGAATCTATAATTCTAACTGTTGCGCCACATTTCTTCTAGGGTTTCATTGTGTCTCCTTTTCACTTTTCTCGTTCTGCTTGCGGGGAGCCCACAGCACGTACCTAGCTAGCTCACCTCAACTAGCTTCCTGTCCAGGTAAGATTCTCTTTGCTTGTGCCTAAGACCGATTCCGTGATTAGGTTACTACGTATGTTAGCTAGTAACACGGAACAGTCGTGTTAGGACCTGCTGCAGACTTCGACCTAATTAGTTTCCTAACCTTACGGTCGTGTTAGGACCTGCTGCAGATTTCGACCTATTAAGTTATGTTGGTTTCTTGCCTCCCTTTCGAAGTTAGATTTCCTACCTTAACCGTCACTTCTTCCTTTCGTTTTTGCTTCTAATCCTCGATTTCTTCCACCGGTAGGTTATGCACTACCCTTCTGTTATCTCCTCTCTGCTTCTCTCCACTTCTTCCCATCTTCTGTTTTCTTCCGTTTCTCCTTTATTTCGATTTACATATTACTTACTTGCTCTTCCATCTTTCAGTTAAGATCTTTCCACACTCCTCCATTTTTTCCGTTTCAGCTTCTTCTTCTAACTCTTGTTTTCTTCCCCACGCTGTTTCATGATTTCTTCCTCCTTGTTCTTCACGATTTTGCTCAGAGAGTTAGTTCCCTAGGTAGGAGCATATCTTCCTTCCATATTTTAATCGTCAGATTCCGTATCCATATCCGTTACTCTCTGGAAATTTCTCTCTGGTTTCTTCTCCTTGTTCAAAACTCTTCATTTTTGTTGTTGTTTAAACTTTCCTAATTTCCATTTCTTTCTCTGCTCACTAGTATACATCTTGTGTCCTTCTCTGTTATTTCGAATAACATGCACTCTCTTTTTCCACTGCAAGTTTTTCTCGCTGTTTTCTTTAGTTCGGGGTTTGAAATATTCTGGTTTTCTGACTTGAGGTTTCGACTGTCTTTTACGCCATCTTCTTCATTTTCTCAGTTTTTTTTCTCTTAAACATGAAATCCTTCTATTCCGTCTTTTCCCTTGCACTATGTGCTTTCTTTTTATTGCAGAAACTGACTTATAGGGGGGATGGAAGGGAATGTCTCGTACAACCCATAGTGCAATTGTTTGATTGGTTTTTATTCTGAGTAACTGTTCAATTTGTTTCATTTCTGTTTGCTGGACTACGCTATTTGTTGCAATTGTAATGCATGTCTGCATGTTTCAAAAAAATATATTGCGGGTCATTGTCACAAAAGGTTCAGTGGTGTACCACTATCAAAGTGAAGCCATTTTGAGCTGGACTTGATCGGTGTAGATATTGTTTTGGGATTTGCAGACTGTATTGCTTTGTTAGAACAATTCAACTTTTATACTGCTAACTTCCCCCCCATGCTAGGCTGAAATTTCATTTTTTTTTTCATATGGGGAACATATTCACTGATTCGTTTGGTGAATGTGTTCCTGTCTCGTAGTGAGAACGACAAAATTTGCCCTTAATATTTCTTCAAAATTCTATGATTTTGTTTTACACAAAACAAAATGATCGAATTATCTTTAATCCCATAAATCGTTAGTCCCAACGAGTAGTGAAGCACAAAAAACATTCAAATGGCGAAAATATAATATAGCTGATTTATTACCATTGTCCTGCACAATTCGAGAGGATGCTTATACCGAGTTTCTTTATCCTTTTCGTTTTTTTTTTTTTTTCGAGTTAACAAATAATTCATCGAAAAAAAAAATCAAATCAGATCGATTGCAATAGGTTGCTCCGCAACCCAAAAAAATCGCTGAGAACTACCGTACCGTACGGCTCCGAATATAGGTGTTAGAATAGAAACGAGAATGGATGGACTAAGGGAAAGTTGGGTACAAATGTAAACCCTAGAAAACTGTACCCCATATGTGCTACCCCACTATAGCCTACAGTAGCTATGTCATATAAATCTGACACACCCCCATAGGCAAAGTGGGGGAGAACAAGGGGTCACAAGACCAGTCAAGCACAGCAAAGCAAGCTCAGGGTGGATCACAAAGTCACCACACATTCCGAGCACAAGTTCAAGGCCACAAGGCCAGTTCACATGCAGGATTACATATATATATATAAGGCTAGACAAGCAAGAGCAGGTGTATATATATATGCAACAGTACAAACAAGGTCAAGGGGTGAGCAAGTGAGTCAAGGTAGGCACAAGACCCAGCTGAGTACAGAAGCGCTGATGATCACAAGGCGCAAGTGCCTTGGTGAAGATATCAGCAGTGTTGGCCTGAGAGGCCACGTACACAAGCCGCAGCTGACCACGCTGCTGTAGCTCACGAGCAAGGAAGTAGCGGAGAGCAATGTGCTTCGTTCTGTGCTCCAGTCTCTGCTCTCGACACAAGGCCAGCATGGCCTTGTTGTCTACGTACAGCACTGGAGGAGAACGAGGCGGCTCTCCGAGGTCAGTCAGCAGGTAGGTGAGCCAGCGAAGCTCCTGTGCAGCCATGGCCCCGGCGTAGATCTCAGCCTCACAACTGGAGCCGAGAACAGAAGACGAGTGGGTAGCCCGCCACGAAACAGAGCCGGAACCAAGGCTGAAGGTGTAACCCTGTGACGACCGCTGCGTAGCCTGGTCGTCAGCCCAAGAAGCGTCTGCGTGCCCAGTGAGGACCACTGGACTCTGCCCTCCAAGCACAAGCCCCATGCCCGACGTACTGCACAAGTAACGCAACACCCTCTTCGCTGCAGCCATGTGCTCCGGTCTGTGTCTCCCAGGAGCAACATAGCGTGCGAGAATGCTAAGAGGGTATGCGAGGTCAGGTCGTGTGCAGGTCATCAGGTACATGAGGCAGCCAACAAGCTCTGGGTACGGGCCACTCGACTCTACGGACTCATCCGAAGGCAGAGCTGAGAGCGAGTGGCGAGTAGGCAGAGGAGTGGCCTGAGGCGAGGAGTACGTGAAGCCGAAGCGCTGAAGGACCTGCTGCACCATGTGTGACTGAGTCAGGGTAATGGTGCGGCGTGCTCTGTCCCGGGTGATCTGCAAGCCAAGGTAGCTGCGCAGTTCACCCAGGTCTGTGCACGTGTGTCTCTTCTGCAGCTCGGACTTCACGTGGGCGAGTCCAGCAGTGTCAGCTGTGGCAAAGACCAAGTCGTCGACGTACACGAGGATGTAGAACGGCGACAAAGAAGTGTCGGTGCGCAGAAACAGCGACGGGTCGGCAGTAGAGGGAGCAAACCCAAGAGCCGCAAGTGTAGTCCTCAGTGTGTCGTGCCACTCTCGCGGTGCCTGGCGGAGACCGTAGACTGGCCGCCGGAGGCTCCACTGGGTGCCAGGAGGAAAAGACCCAGTGAAGCCAGGTGGGCGACGCAGCCAGATCTCCTCGTGCAGGCTGCCCTGCAAGAAAGCAGTGCTGAAGTCAAGAGAGTGCAGCTCGTAGTCGCGGTGAGCAGCTATGTGCAGCAGTACCCGAAGAGTGGTCATCTTCGGGGTGGGAGAGAAGGTCTGAAAGTAGTCAACTCCCTGCCACTGACTGAAGCCACGAGCCACGTAACGTGCCTTGAAGACAGGCGGAGAACCCGGCGGTCGCTTCACCCTGAAAATCCACATGCCACTGACGATGTTCGCCCCAGGCGGGGGAACCTCGTCAACGTAGGTGCCTGTGGACTTCCAGGAAGCCAACTCTGTGTCCATAGCTGCCTGCCACTGAGAGGAGTAGGGACCCTCTATCGCCTCCGCGTAAGAGCGCGGAGTCGGGATGTCAAGTGCATCCGGGTCTCCCTCAGGGGTAAGCAGTACGGACACGAGATGAGGTGAAGCAGCAGCCAAACACTGGAACTCCTCCTGCCTGTCCTCAAGGACGTCCGTGCCAAGGGCACACTCACCCCCGACGGACGGAGGACAGACAGACTCAGACGCAACGACAAGACTAGCAGCGTAGTCTAGACGACAGCGAGCAGCAAAGTCGACGAGCTCAGCAACTAGGGCAGACGCAGCAGTGGACTCAAAGGAAGGGTCAGTGACGACAGTAGCAAGGAGACGCGTGACAGTAGGACTGGCAGCACGAAGAGAGTCCGACTCCGGGTCGGGAAGAGCAGGAAGAGAGGACTCAGGAGGAGAAGGCAAAGGGGCACGCAGAGGAGCAGTGGACGGACGCAGAGACATCCGGTGCGTGCCAGGGACAGGAGGAGGACGCTGACGCGAACCACGGCCACTAGTGCGAGCAAGACGGACAGGCGACGCAGGGCGAGACGCAGGCTCACGACGCTCAGCAAGACCTCCAGTAGGACCAGTGTAGGGAGAAGGAGCGGGCAGTGTGAAGGCCGGCTGTAACTGTAACTGGGACGGGACAGGCTGTGGACACTCTAAGGGAGGAGGAGGACCAGTAGAAGGCGGGAGACCAAGAACCTGCTGAAGGAGCGGAACGAAGTACGGCCGAGGCCGCGCGGCGACTCCAGACACAGCAGGGACAGCACCAGTACCCCCAGCGGCAGCACCAGCGCCAGCAGCACCTCCA